TATTTCTAGAAGCTCATCCAAGTCATTTCTTGGTCAAATGAGCAGAAATTCAACATAACAAGTCCAGTCACTTGCTGCATTCAAGGCTTTGTCATTAACAGAAAACAAATTAACTAAAATAGTATATTCATCATTTTCCTAGACACTAAAGATATAAGCAATATATTGGGCACAAGTCTAATCAACCATATATATAAGAAATTAGAAGAATGTACCATGAGGGAAAGGCTTCGGCTTCGTGCTGGAGCACCGGGAATTTCTTCATACTCATCAGCCTCTAGTTCTTGCAGATGGTTAGGTTGAAACAGCTTGGGAAGGATGCGCTGTCTTATGCCAATAAGAAGGAAGAATGGTAGGGGGAACAATATTCCAGCTATGGGTATCCATGTCACTCCAAAACAGATCAAAAAGTAGACAAATTGAAAAATTGTGAAGATAGCAATTTGCTTGAATGGCACCACTTCCACAAATGAAGCATGAACACCTTCCAGGACTCTGCCCCACAGAACGATACTGAAAGCTAAGAAGTTAGGATAATGATGAAAAACTATGATTCATAGATAATGCATTATGATCCTGTAAGTATCTATTGTTTTCAGAAATTTAACATCCTTCCATTTTGGACTTGATATAAAATCTTTTAGACAGAGCACTTGCTTTATATTGTCAGCTGCGACTGATATGTTGAAAAGTATTCTCAGAACCAAGATGTGCTTGATTGCTATGGATGGAGAAATCAAAACTCATTATTATCATGGAGTTAGATAAGCAATACTTATATTTCAGCATGCTTTCTCTTCTAATTTCAAGTTGTATAACTTGTAACGCCGGCTAGGAGTGATGAAGAGCAACAGCATCCTTTCCCAGAACTGATTCCCTGGAAGACTATCAATGGCCATGTAGGCAAAGTATCCCCATAAAACTGATGTAGGTATTCTTTTTATCAGAGGCAAAGCACACATTGATACTCCAACAAGGATTGACTGTAACAGGTTGCTCATTCTCTGTTCATTAACTCTCACAGGCAAATAAGCATCAATGTGTTTCTCAGGATCAAATTGTTTTTTAGCATCCTCTTCATCATCAGATTTCATGACAGCCTGCTTCAAGTTCTCCAACTCCTTATGTACTGAAACATCCTGCAGCATGATTCCTGTTAAGTTCGGAAAGGAACACACTTGCATACAAACAGATTTCAAGACACTGGTAGGTAGCAGGCTGCGAACTAACAAGTCTTGAGCACTTACAGATGAAGGCGCATCCATCTCTAAAAACACAGCATGCATTCTTCCATAAATTCCGAGTTGCTTGCCTTTTGGCTATGCATTCCTTTGCGCTCTTTACAATTTTCTTTCTAATCAACTGCAGATCAAGCTCATAACATCTAAGTATCTAAACAAACTGAACTTTAACTTGAACATGTCCTCAGAAGGCATGCCATACCTGCCTCTTGAGAACTGCAAGGCTCTTGGTGTGCATGGGGGATTGGGGGAGAACACCATTTGAAGGAGGGAGTCCAAGTAAACCACAAATCAATGTCTGAAATCGTGAACAACACGCAGCAAGTAAGCCAAATATATAGATACGCCACAGAGGCTAACATTAGAAAGAAGAAACAGACTCATGAATCAATCGAATCAATCACATACCATGAAACCAAGCAACAAGACATCATAATG